GCTAATAGGCCGGAGGCCACGCCACACGCGAAAAGCAGCCCATGCCCGCCTGTTTTCACGTGCCCCATGACGTGGACCCTATGCTGCTTCCTGCCCTACCATCGCACTCACTCTGTTTCACCTGATGACTACCACGCCGACATGCTGAAACCAACGTGGGTCCTAGTAACTTGCCCCGCCTATGGATGCACGCCACAGAAGTGTTTGTTGGCCTTAGGCGCCCACATGGTGACCCATGGCGACAACCCCAGTAGCAGCAGCAAGCAACTACAGCAGGCCGCTATCCACTAGACACCAGTCCCTTTGCAATATGTCCTCCCCCATATCTACATTTGAAACATCCAAATAAAACACTTGCAACATACGCCCGAAAATAGATGAAACACTTGAAACATACGTGTATAGACATAGCAACATATGCAACATCTAGATGAAAGAATCGCAACATACGTCTAAAACATCTTAAACACTTGAAACATGCATGTATAGCCGTAGCAACATATGCAACAACCAGATGAAACACTTGCAACATATGTCAGAAAACAGATGAAACACTTGAAATATACGCTTGAAACATGCATACATAACCATAGCAACATATGCAACATCCAGATGAAACAATTAAAACATACGTCTGAAACACGTAAAACACTTCAAACATAGGCTTATAAATTGTGTATATTGTCATTGTAACATATGCAACATCCAGATCCAATTTTACAATATCCAGATGAAACACTTGAAACATAAGTATGAAACACCTAAAACAATTGAAACACGGCGTCATCGGTGGCCATGGCCTACCTTGTGGGGATCGGGCGAGCGAGGAAGCGGATTTTGCATGGTGGAGAAATAGTGGATGGCTGATTAGTCACCGCTGCTGGCGCGAGCTGCCACCGGAGAGGGACCAAAGTGGTCGGGCGAGTGCGATGGAGAGCAGAAGTCGCGCAACGGTCGGTGAGCGCGGTGGACAGGGAGGAAGTGGTCATCGGCGTTCGGATGCAGTGGAGATGGAGGATTCAGAGAGCCAGTCGGGCTGGTGTGGTGGAGAACATCGTGGCGAGGCGGTCGTAGTGGACCACGTTGCGACGGTGCGGACGCTACAATGAGTGGAGAATGACTTTTTTATGAGCAGAGACAGCAGCCGAGTGAAAGAAACACGAAGACGAGCGTAGGACAAAGGTGTTGTGCCATTCAGAACGTCGTGGCCCACGCATCCAGACGATCGTACGCCCCCGTGTAAGATTACCATTTAGAATTTTTTGAAGAGAAATTAAACTAGAATTAGAGTTCATGAAGGTAGAACGGAACAAACTTTTCCGTATAAAAAAAACAAGGACACGGTTACTCCACAACCCGTCGCGCGTAAAGATAGCACGCGACCCCTCAGGAGAGTGAGCAACTAGAAGCAGGCCACTGCATGCGCCCTCCCCCTCAGCCCCACGCGCACCCATTTCCACATGCAGTAGGCCTGCATTCGCCCTTCCCCGCCCCGAGTAGCATTGCTACATGCCCGCCACTTTTAGGGCTCCTTTGGATGCCAGGGGACCAAAGGCACATGGATCAAAATCACAAAGGAAAAATTATACGTGCAAATGACATCCCCAGCGAACCCTGTGGGTATTCTATCTTATCGTTTGTGAACAAGTGACGCGCGCTCGTGAGGCAAGGTCACTAGTGCAATCTGCTCGCGGCATGGAGGCAGAGGCTGCGATGCAGTCTCAGACAAATCACGCGACGGGAGTCATCTGCTGACGGGGGAGGATGGGGAAACTAATTCATGAGCCAGGAGATGTTTTTCTAATTCTGCGTGGTTAGACGGTGGTAGGGGTAGAGTGGCACGTGTGTTTTTTTTTTGGCCAGGGTGGTGTCCAAACAGCCGAAGGGACTTGGAAGGAGAGCAGATCGTTGGGCCTCAGCGGCCACGCGAAATCGGCGGGGATCCCCGCGGGGTTTGATGTACCCAAAGGAGCCCTTAGCGTGTTTCAGCGCGTGGTCCAAGGCAGCTGACGCAAACAAAAAAACAAAACAATTTCTTTGAATTGCTATAACTTTTAAATGTTGTATTTGTTTTAATTTCGTCTACATCGGTGTGTTCTACATGACGAGACGAAGAAAACTAGACCCCACTTGCATATGTTTCAAAAAAATTACTTTTTAGTAGAAATTTATATGTAAATATGTGCTAGGGGATTTATCAAAGAAATTGCTACCATGTAATACTAAAGTTACTACTCTAAAAATATAATAAAGTTTTTACATAGTAAGCACATTGATTATTATCATGGGAATATAATAAAATTCTTATATAGTATTTACATAAAGGTACTAGCCCAATATTATAGTATTTTAAGAGCAATAAATTACATGGATTGAGTTGCTAGTGAGAGTTTGTTGCAACTTATATATTGCGAAAACGAATAATAATTCATGTAGAAACAATCCAAACTAGCTGCTAACTAGGAGAAAATATAAAAAAAAACAAGAGTAACGGCCCAAACAAGACAATATGCAAACCGGAGAAGGGGACAAATTATTAAAAAAAGCATTATATAAACTGTCAACTTGGGGAGCAAGTTATTATACAATCCATTGCAAAAGTCAGGAAATCAATATAGAAGAACAGTTAATATGCACGATTTAGGAAGATATTCGAACCTGAAAGGAAACTGAACCACCAAAAAAGCTACCAGAAACTAAAACTAAAATTAACAACCAGAAAATCGAACTACATTTGACTAACAGAAACTGAAAACTAAAGTTGACACAATGAAAAGCAAATAATTAAAATTGAAATTATCAGAAACTGAAACTTAAATTGTCGACCACAAAATTAAACTGAAAATGATAAATACACTATGACAAGACATACCTTTGCCGACACTTTTATAGAGGGCAAAGGGTACCTTTGCCGACAGATAACCTCCGACGAAAGGTTTTGCTAACAGTTTAGAAACAGTCGCGTTAGAAGCAGTCGGTGAAACTCTCACCGACAGTGAAAGGAATCCCCGACACTTTGTGTAGCGAAATGGGGCACCTACGCCGACAGTTGAAACCTACGCCGACAGTTAACCCTTTGCCGACAGTTAAGAACTACACCGATAATTAGAACCTTTCCCGACAGTTTTTGTGTTAGTGAAATCATTTCCAAGGTATTTTGTGTATCATGCTCTGTCCAGCAACTAAACTGTCGGCAAAACTGTACTGCAGATATAGATATAAATACAATTTGAATAATTAACAAATCCACTATTGTTCATATAGAAGGCATCACATTGAACAAATTCACTTGATTTTATAGAAATGATATATTAGATCTTCCATACATACACAACCTGGATATTATATATATAGCAGGTCAAGTGATGATCACAGTACATAGAGCCATACATATACAGGTCCAGGATGATTAGTCACTAACAGACATCCTACAAGTTTGTACTAACTGGTTATGGCTAGAGCTAAGAGATAAATAGATCATGACTTGGGCACAAAAGTGGCATTCAACACTTCCATGTCTTTGGCCTACACGATAGTAGGTGCAAACAAAAGAACAGAACTGCAATTCATGTCTTCTTGCAGCAATTCTCGAACACTTGTTGCCACTCCAAAATACTTGAACACCAACTTGGTGCACATATGGTTGCTGCCACTCCAGCTCTCTGATCGAACCTCAAAAGGTTGCCAATCCAAAATACTTGCAACACCACATAGCTTAAGTACCTAACAAGAAAAAATGGCGAAATATTAGTGAAATGTGATCTGTATCATTAACTCTTGCTTTGTTATTGGGTGCAAATAGTGAAACAATATTACTGTACAATGGACAGCTATGCTATCAACTATTTGGTGACACAGGCCCATTATATAATTCCATTCAATCTAGTTAGCAATGACGTGCCAACTATAAGCAGCGAGCTAGGTACCAGCAACTTAATAATGGTATATATAATTGTCATCTTGGATTCAACAAGGTCAACATTATTAGTAACAGCAAAGGAAGGAACTAAAAATTCAATGGAGTAACAGCAGATAAACTAGTTATAGCTTGAGTGGCTACTAAACATACTAAATCAGCACCTCAGTGTATATAGAAGATCAGAAGGAACACAAATACATATGGCAGATCAAGGGAGTACACATATTTAAGTTAATCATATATAGGACCACAGCCTCACTGTTTTTCTAGAAATTCTTCAACCTATATATTATAGTCAAATTTTAAATTCATATAGCTGCCAGCCAACACAGCCTCATTGCTTTCCTGTGCCAAACAGTTTGGATCACATATATAAATCAAAATGTTCAAGTAAAATACCTTCAAGCTGTGATGGCCTTCCTGTGCCACCACCTTTTGAGTGTTGCAGTGACTTCTTGTCATCCCTCAACTAGTAGGTGTCACACACAATTTTAAGGATAAAATAAGATGCATAATCTTATGTGCGCCCTGAGATCAATCACACACGTAAGCCGACAAATTATAGAAAGTATCATCACAAGTGTTTATTACATCACGAATAATATCACATAGTCTTCACATAAATATAGCGGAAATATAAAGATAACTCTCTTGCGGAAGCTCCATAGCACAAGGATGTCAACTGGTTGACCACAAGACTTGTAATCCTCAGCATGGTTTAAAAGGCGTTAAGGCGAGGTGAGGCGAGCGACCCCCTTCCAGACGCCTAGGCGAGCAAGGCGAAGGCCTAGGCGACGCCATAAGAATATCATAATATATAATGGCGCTAAAATTCAGAAGCAAATTAGACCTTAATATTACCAATTCTTAGCAGACATACATAGTTTTAGACCATAATAAGGATGATAAGTAGTGCTACTAGAGTACTAGTCTACTAGTGCACAATATGAAGTAGCAAAAGAGCAAATCTGAAATGTCTCAGTAGCCAAAAACTAGTCTCTAATGGCATGACTTAATTAATAGCGCTGCTAGTGCGCATCATATATGAAATAGCAACATAGGAAATCTGAAATCCCTCCTCTCAATAGCCATCATCAAACTCTCCAATGATGTTGGCTACCTCCTCATCTCCTCCACTACCATTGGCATCACAAGGATCATCCTCACAATCTGTCACATCTGCGTCATCATAGGGATCTTGATTTTCTTCATCCTCATTTTCTGAACCCAGCTCCTCCTGAACCCCAATAGGTGCAAAATTTCTAGCACGCTTGTTGTGGGCTGTTCTTGGTAAATTTCTGCCACGAAGTAACTCTGATGCTCCAATAGCTTCATCAACAAGGTCCCATGTATGGTCACACTCACAGCCACGAGCACCATGAGGGGGCACATGCAGTGAGTCAGCCCACTCATTGTCCCAATCAAACTCCTCAACAACCAAAGGATCAAAGCCTTTACCTTTCTTATGCCTCAATTTCTAGAACCTAGTTTTCATCTTCTGGTTGTAGGAAACAAAGACAATAGAATTTAACCTCTTATGCAACAACCGGTTCCTTTTCTTTGTGTGAATCTACAAAATAAGAAACACAATACACCAAAAAGATGAACAAAATGCTTGATGTAATATTGGTAAGAACAGCAAGGAGATGACAGATGGGGAAAAACTCACAAATTCAAAGGTGCTCCAATTGCGCTCATAACCAGATGATGAAGCACAAAGACTGACCACACGCTTAGCAAACCTTTGTAGCTCAATAGCACGGCCACCATATGAACGCCACCAATCAACTAGAACAACAAATGCATCATATGTTAGGAGCTGGGATTGAAAAAATGCTAGCTTGCTGGAATTAAATTGCTGTAATGTACACTTGAAGACATTAAAAGAGAAGAACACAACACTTACGAGGGCTCAAAGACTCAAGGTTTTGCTTGGCCATTTTGTTTGAAAAAGCATCTCCTCGAAGAAATTCATAATCCATGGCTGGAGCATCGATCTTGTCTCTAGTTTTCTTATCCTCCACCATTCTTGCAAGTACATCAAGAAAGCAACCTCTTAGTTGTCCAACAGTTGCATCATCATTTTTTCTTGTGAGAGGATGGAGCTTCCCTGGGTTCAAAAACAATGCAGCCCCATAGAGTGGATGATCCATTTGTTTCTCCCACCTTCGCTCAATTATCTCCATGATCTTGTCAAGCAACTTTTTCTTGGATGGTATGGCAAAGCTCAGATTGATCTTCTCTTTTGCATGGTTCATTAATGCTTGAACCTCTGGCATTCCTAGCTTCTCATCTCCATCAACCACCCTAAGCACAATGAGAAGTGGGGCTGAAGCTCTAAGGCAATCTTCAACTTTGTTCCAGAACTCTATAGAGAACACAATGGCCTGCACATCTAGACCTGCTTTGGTTTTTGCCAATTTATTCCCAATCCATTGTTCACTATGAAATAAAGCCTTCAAAGCTTCCTTGTGCTTGTACAAACTCTTCAAAGTAAGAAAGGAAGTTGCAAAACGAGTTGCTGCAGGTCTCACAAGATCAGCCCCACCTGTCTTCTCCCTCATGGCATGAAGGATCCTCCCATGCCTATAGATGAAAGTTGTAACACGCCTTGCACGTGCAATATATTTCTTGAATGCTGGCAAGTTCCCAATCTCCTCTAGCATGAGATCCAAACAGTGTGCAGCACATGGACTCCAAAATATTGTAGGAATCCTTTCCATCAAAAGCTTGCCTGCTGCCTTGAAGTTAGCACCATTATCTGTAACAACTTGGACAACCTTGTCTTTTCCAATGTCATCAATTCTTTCCTCTAGCAGATCAGCAAGCATCTTAGCATCATGTACTTCACTTGATGCATCAACTGACTCCAAGAAGTATGTCCCCTCCGGGCTGTTCACTAGGAAGTTAATCAAGTGGCGTCCCCTCCTATCGGACCATCCATCAGACATAAGTGTGCAGCCATACTGTTTCCATGCCCTCTCATGCTCCTCCCTCATGGTACTTGTTGACTTCACAGCCTCTTTAAGCAATGGCTCCCCAAGTTGATAAGGTGTTGGAGGCTTGTACCCTGAACCAAACTGAGCTGTGGCCTCAACTGCAATCTGAAATTGTCTTGCGGCTGCTGCATTGAAAGGTACACCACACTCATAGAAGAACAAACCCCACTGCATATCCACATAATGCTTCTCCTCCCGGCTTTTTGCTGCTGCATTAATTGTGGGCTGGTAAGAACCTAACAGTCTCTCATCTACCACCTCTTCTGGTGTTTTTCGAAGCATCTCAGCAATGGTCTTTGTCTTTTGCTGTGCAGTCTTGTTACCAACAGCCTTCAATTGTATGGTTGATTGCCTTCTTTTGGCTGCTGTCCCTGAACTAGGATGAACCTTGGCGGCTTGAGAAGATTCATTTTGCTGTGCCTCACTTACAGGAGGCCCACTTGATGCCACCTCCACCACTTCTGCTTCTCCATCCTCATCCTCTAGGAACAAAGGTCTTCTTCTCTTGTTAGCCTCCAAATAAGCTGCCATCTCCATCCTAATTTCAGTGCTCACTTTAGGACAAATTTTTGCATCTCCAAAGCCACATGCTAAATGTTGCTTCAACCTTTTTATCCCTCCACGAACACTCCCAACACACAAGGTGCATGCTACCTCATCCTTGTTGCTAAGGTTTGGCCAGTAGGCATACTTCCACCCTGGATCTTTAGTCTTTTGTGGCTTCCGGGTTGGATCATTCTTGGGATCATACTCGCTAGCAGCGGAAGGTGGACTTGCCATTGTGCTTCACCTGCATAAAAAGGCAAAGAACCCAAGCACATAGCATGGTTAATGCTCTGTATAGTTTATATAGGCTAACGAGCAGTTCAACAAAGAGCAAAGGACACTACAGTACATCCTATAGCAAACACTAGTAGAAAGTAGCAGTATAATATGGGATAAAGGTGTAGGAATTAGCATAAATCAAGTCACTTTAGCACATAAATCGGAGCAATTAGCATATAAAACAGAGCAATTAGCATATAAAACAGAGCAATCAACATATAATACACAGCCCCAGATGTTCTAACCACAAAGAAGACCATGAGTGGACCACTCCAATCTACATCTATAAAACAAACCACAAGTATCCAAGCAAGAAGCAGACAACACCATGTGATGTGCTCTGTTTTTTATGCAATCCAACCACAAGCAGTCAGGCACAATCGACTATTTAAGTAACAGAGGAACGGAGGGAAACAGAGAGGAGAGGCACTACCTCAGCTTGCAAGTGCCCAGCGGGAAGGCAGGTGAGTAGGTCGGAGCTGGGGGCCGATGGTAAAGCAAATCGGAGCCCCGTCCTGGTGCCTGACGGAGAGTAGACGTTGGATGTCTGGTCTCCCAGTCGATTTGGCGACTGGCAGGCTTCAATCGAGCTACAAACGGCGGGATCCAGTTGCTGCAGGAGGGGGGCGACCAGCGGAGACGTGCGGGGCCGCCGGCTGTGCCGCGCTCCGCGAGGATTTGACGTCGCACCAGTGGGAATCGCCGCATCAAGAAGGGGCGGAGCAGCGGGCCTCTGGTTTCTAAATCTAATTACTCTCCCTCTCTCTAATTTACCTCCTACGCTTTATCTCTCCCTCTCAATTTGTTCCCGCACGCAGCAGTGGAAAGGCAGGAAGGCCCGACACGGGAGCGATTTCTTCCCGCGCGCTGGCGAGCATTGCTTCTTTCCGCGCGCACCCCTAATTTCGTGAGTTTAAGCATCCTCCGCGGGCGCCTTGGCGACGACCAGATGCCTAATCGAGCAAGGCGGACGCCTAGTACGTCAAGGCGGACGCCTTATGCGTGAAAGTCCAGGCGAGCCTGACACCCAGCAACTTTCCTCCCATGTACGACTAGGCGACGCCCTTTGAACCATGATCCTCAGGGAAGTCGTTATTACCATAGCAATATGTTACCCATCCGGGATTTTTATCCAAATAATGAAAATAAACAAGCATAAATACATCTCGTACTCAACAAGTGTAACATGAGGTTCATGAGGCTCAAAAGGCTTGACACAGGTTTAACAACATTTAGCTTTTAGTTGTCATAATTTTAGCATAAGAGTAGCATCAAGTTGTCATAATCCCAAAGTAAAACACATGATCAATGTAAACATGAATAATGAATAGCATAAACAATTAATTAATAGTGATCATCTATTCCATTAGGGTTCCAAGGCCGCTCGTAACCGTGAGCACGGCTGTTATAACAGTTTTACACTTTACAGAGGTTGTACACTTTCAATGTGAGTCGTGATTACCCATACGCCTAGGTTTATAACTCCCAAAACACTTCCAAGATGAGCAGGCAGGGTACACTATGAAGCCTTTCAAAGGTTCGTCTAACAAGTTAGGGCCACTAGGTTTCTAGTTGGCAAACAGATGTAGAGCTACCCTTCTAAATGGCACATTCTGCCAATGCTATACACATAAAGACAGAGGCCGCATTATACCCGATTTGTTAAGCCCCTCTTGTGCCATAAAGGTAACCACTAACAAGCTAGAAAAAGGTCCTTATACTGAGCTAAAACCAGAGCCATGTGGCCCTCACAGTTGTACTGTAAGTCCCGAATGATCACTTACAGATAAGTCCTTAGGGAGAGGAATCTAAAGCATTTAGAAAGTAGCTAAATACTCTGGCCCCCTTTTTCCATGTTGCTAAAAAGTCATGTTTTAATGTTTATTGGATATAGCATTAGTCAAGTTACAAGATCAAGGTTTAGTTGAGCACTAGCAAAAGCTATCCAATGCATATCCCATAGGTGACAAGGTATAAGTCCAATTCTAGGAAATCCTTAAATATAACAAGGAGACACATGCACATGAATTAAGTGTATTAAGGTTAATAGGAAACAAGGATGATCTCATGCTATACTTGCCTTGATCAAAGTGTTCCCGCTGATCCTGCTCATCAAAGTAGTACTCTTGATCACCCACGAATTGCTCACCGTCTATATTCGATCATCATAGCAACATACAAGCATCCATAACCAATCATGCATAGCAAACAAAGGCTATAGATTATAATAGTACACCAACAGCATAAAATCAAGATGAAAAGTTTGTAAAGTGAGTCTATGTCTCGCTCTGAACACACAAAAGTGGAAATCACGAAAATCGGAGCTATAATGAAGAAGTTATGAATTAAACAAGATTTGCTTTAATAAAATAATAGATTAAATCTAACCTCAAATTTCAAAAGTTGAAAACATGTTTAACAATAGGATGAACATGTAGATTACGCAATTACGAATCTAACGCAACTTGAACGGGTCAAAACGGAGTTAAAACGAAGATTTTATGGCTAAAACAAGATCAGTGGCAAATATATAAACAAAGGAAACGTATTTTGAATTTAACTGAAGGAAACTACTCTTTCAAAAGAAGAAAATGTATTTTGAAGTATACATTATGGACTGCAGGTTAGATTACTGGAAAAGGGAGGGGCTCTTTTGCAAAACAACCAGTGAAAGGGTATGATGAAATCTGATCCGTTGGATCTAATCTGGATGGTCCAGATTAGAAGAGGGAGGGGAAGGCATTGCTGGCGGCGAGCTAGGCGGCGGCAGCATGGCTAGAAAAAGGCCTGACCTCGCCAGAGTTCGTCGTTTTCGACGTTTCGAACATCATCGGTCAAAAACAAAACACGGGGAGCAAGAGCGGAGCACGACGAACTTGATGAGGGCATCAAGGTGGCCCGACGCGGCACTGCGGCGCCGCAGGGCTAAGCGGGGTGGCTCGAGTATGGCGGTGAGGCTACGGCGAGCTAGCGCCGGTGGTAGAGAACGAGGGAGAGGGCAAAGGCGGTACTCAAGGCATCCTTACCTCATCAAGGTGTTCAGCAGCGTGGTCGAGGTGGCAGAGAAGCAGTGGCGCGGCGAAGCAAAGTCGGTGGCGGTGGCTTAGGGTTGCGGCGGCACTGTGGTCTCTAGGAGCGACAATGGCTTGCTCTCGGACTACATAGGGAGGTTGCGCGGGCGTAGGGCGCTATTTAAAGGGCGGGGCGGCTTGTGGCGCATGCCAATCAGGCGGAAACGGGGAGGTGGACTCCCGGCGAAGCAAAGTCCTACACGGACACAAACGAGAGGAGGAAGACGTGGCTAACACGTGGGCCCGGGGTGTCAGCGACTCCAGGCGCGGGGCCGACTCGGCAGAGAGGCAGAAGGAGAAAAGGGGCAATGCCTCCGCGCGGCTTCGGTTGGACCGCTTGCTGGGCTGCGAGCGAGGGCGGGACGGCCCAAGGGGAAGAGAGAGAGGGGAGGAAGTGGGCCGGCGGGATGGAGGTGGGGGTGCGGGACAAAACCGGGGAGAGTGAGAGAGAGAGAGAGGAAAGAATTTCTTTTCTTTTTCTTAAACACATTTTCAAAATCAGATTCAATTCAAATTCAAACTCTTTTGCAATTTTGAATCAAACCACTCAGCACAAAAATTCCAATGCAGCAGCATGTATGCACAAACATGTAACTAGACCTTATAGTCGATTTTAATTTAACAAAAGTTATTATTTTTCTAAGTTTACATGCTCACCAAATGCATAATTAAATCAAATTCACCTATTTTAAAATGATGCAAATTTTTGGGTGTTACTGTAGGAAACAAATATATTACTAATCAGCAAATTATAATCATCAGTTTTTCAAGAATACAGAGAGGTTAGGCCATTACTCTGTCATGTGGCCATGCAATGCATCTCCCAAGAGCCTCTAGAATGGTGGTGACCCCTTCATATGGACGAGGCAGTACAGCGTTCCTCACAAACACATGGTTAACAACCACTTCACAGAACTGTACGCCAAGAGCAGTACCCCAACAATAGCCCTTGGGTTCTTTGTTTGAATGCTAGCCTTTGCCGCAGCGACATCATGGGGCCTTACTAAATTATATAATATCACATCTCTGCCACCCTGAAGCATAAAATATATTATCTTAAAGTGTGCAAAGCAATCAAATTAGTTGTTGCACCATCTGCACATTAGCCATAGCCCTATAAAAAAGACATAAAAGCACCCTTTTCTTCTTTATAAATCTTCCAGCGCGCAGCAGTTTTTCCTGCCATATTTTCATAACAATCTGCATAGCAGTTTTACTTTCCACCCAAGTTCAGTAGCAAGTACACATTTATCTTTTCACTTGATTAGGAATTGGAAATGTAGCTATGTCTAAAATAATTGCAGGGACCTTTTATAATTTTGTGTTTGCATCTTTTTGTGAAAGACTTAAAGCTTAGTAGTCCTCTTCTAAACAAAAAAAACGAGTCTAGGAGACCCCAGCCAACTCCTTTTATCATTTGATTAGCACTTTCTTAAACGAGTAAATCGTGGATAGCCAACATTAAATAATTAATTCCACTGCTAACAGCATGCAAGATGTTTGGACGCCATTTTTTTCCTGAAAAAGTACACTCATATTGATCAACCCTTACTGAACACTATCTTCTTTCAACCTATAGACCCAAATTCAGTAGCAATGAAATATGGCCTGGTAGCGGCGTGGCCTGATTCAGCTTAGAAGGTCTGTGCCTTCCAATCAAACCTATTTAACACAGCTAGTGCTAGTGCATCTCAGCCCCTAGTAGAATATTACAGATTAAATAAATAGCCGAGAATGTTCTGGACATGCAGCTGAACCTCAAGGGATGCTAATAATCAGAAAAAAAATGATACATTAAAATTTAAAAGGGCCAAACTAGATGCATGGGATGCTAAAATAATCAGAGAGGTGTCTAACCTATTTAGGCAATATCACAAACACATA